TTATCATTCATATATCTCTAAAACCAGCAATGCCACTCCTGCATATACACCCCACACCCCAGTCTAGTAATGTTCCATTTCTTGGTCTGTGGTAGTTCACTCAGTAAAATTCATTACCTGTACTTTTTTTTTCTTTTGAGACAGTCTCACTCTGCCATCCAGGCTGGAGTGCACCGGCATGATCACGGATCACTGTAATCTCAGCCTCCCAGGCTCTGGTGATCCTCCCACCTCAGCCTCCCGGGTAGCTATGACTACAGGCACACACCACCACACACAGCTCATTTCTGTATTTTTAGTAGAGATGGAGTTTTGCCACGTTGCCCAGGCTGGTCTGGAACTCCTGGGCTCAAATGATCTGCCCACTTTGGCCTCCCAGAATGCTGGGGATTACAGGTGTGATCTACTGCACCCGGACCACTTGCACATTTAAAATTGTCCCTCGGGTCCCAAGAGGGAGCGGATTTCTGGCCTTAAGGTGGGGCGCAGGGTCAGTGTTCTCCATAGGATTTAGGAGGATGTGCCCCCGAAGCTGCTCCGTCCCTCCACCGCCGGCGCTGCCACAGGAGGACCCGCCGCGAGCTCTTCCCCAGCGCCCACGAGAGGAGGGCGGCGGGCTGCAGCGGCAGGCGAGGAATGGAACCTGGAAACAGGCCCTGGCGGGGCCGCCGCGCCCGCCAGCTCGCGCAGCAACACTTGGGGCAGCCCGAGAGCCGCGGGGCGCCCCAGCTGCTCGCCGGCGGTCCCGGACTCACCGCCCGCCCGGCCTGGCGCGGCGCCCTCACCTCGGAAACGCCGGGTGGACTTCGCAGGAAACCTTAACTTCCATCCAAAGGGCAGCCGCGCCCGACCCCCCGCGCCTGGGCCCGGCTCCCGGCTGCGCTGGTCGCCCGTCCGGCGTTTCCAAAAGCATCGGGCTCACTCAGCTCGGGCCACCTCGGGACCCTCACCGACCCCTCCCGGCACCGCCGCCGTCTCAACCGCCGCGCAGCCCCTCCCACCGCAGCCCGCGGCTCCTCCGGGTCTTCCCGCCGACAGCCCCAGGCGCAGGCGCTGCGGGGCCTTAAAGGGACCGCACCCTCAGCCGCACAACCAGGTGAGGGGCTGCGGGGGG